GGACTCGTCTCCCTTGGCTTATTAGACTGGATGAGACTCAAAGAAAGACACAGCACACGATTTTTAAATAACTTTATAATTTCCTGATGGATTTAGTTTGTGAATAAAAAAGAAAAAAAAATGGACAGAGTGTTTACAATAATTATCAAGGCAAAGTTGACTAAAACACAATTTCTTTGTAATGTCATTATCCTGTCAGTAACACGACTCCGGCCGTCTCACTCTCTCTCACACACACACATGCACACACACACAGTTGAAGGCAGCAGGTGCATTTGCATCACAGACACCATCATTGCGGCTGCTACTGTCACAAGGAACTCAAGCTAAAAGGAGTCCGCGCCCAGGGCCCCCAGTGCCTCTCACTCAAGTGCTGCACTTGTCTTCAGGGGCAGAGGGGGGCAGATCCCAGGCAGACGTCGGGTCTCCACCCTGGACAGCCCGGTGTGCTCTGCAGGACCCCGGGCCGGTGGGCTAGTCCCGCACGGGCAGGCTGGCCGGCGAGGGCGGGGTGTGGCGCTCAGGTGGGTCTGGCTGCATGAGAGCACGAATGCAATACTGGTGTGGCGTGGAGAGAAGGGCCAGGCTTGGAGCGCTTGTGCTGGCCCAGGGGGTAGTTCACCTCAGGCTTCGCAGGGATCCCGTTCTTGGCTGACCATGGCATCTCTGGGGCCAAAGGAGACAGCCTGGGCATGGGAGATGTGGGGTCTAAAAAGCTTCAAGGGCAAGATCTGGGGCCTGAAGCCAGAAGGAACTGAGATCTGAGTACAATTCGTCGGCCTGGATTGTGGGCTCCAGGCTGGCCCAGGCTGGGCCCATGCTGGCTGGGTCCCTGGCTGACATAGCACCAAGTGGGCGGGAGAGCGGGTCTGTGGCCCGCACGGGGCTGCCGCCGGCTGCACGGCTGCAGGGCCAAGCCCGGGTTACCACACAGTATTAGGCACACGGAGCTGGGACCAAGTGGGTCTGAGGGTGGTTATGGGGTCTCAAACTTTGAAACGTCTACCCAGAGGTCCTGAGGATGTAAAGGAGACCTCTGGCACCAGTGGGACTCTCTGAGCCCCGGATTCCAATTCTTACTCAGTAGCTCTCTCACTCAGGCCGTCGCCAACCTGGAGGGTGGCCACTGGTGTTTTCCAAGGGACTAGCCCAGCTGCCACCTCGGCCAGCTTGGGAGGAAGCAGGGAGGAGTTTGCCCCATAGCTTGAATTCCTTTATTAACATGATATCGTTTTGCATTTCTTAAAACACAGCTCTTTAACTTTTCAGTTCTACAAACTACTTTTTAATATCTTAATAATCTCAACAATGGACACAATGTAACTGCCCCAGTGCTCTGAACCACACAGACAATATTGACAAGCAGAGAAACAAAAGAGAAGGCGGGATGGGACAAAAATCCGCTCCCTCCACATCAATCCCTAAAACCACCTTTCCCCCTAGAGAGTCAGGAGGAGAAACACCTACAAGAGGGTCACAGCACTCGCCAAACACATCGGGAAAAAAATCAGGAGACACTTGGTTACAGTTTTGACACTAAAAAGTCTGGAAACAGTTTTTGCTTAAAAAGAGTAAGTAAAGACAGCCATTTTGTTCAGAAGGATTTCCCTGTAATGTGTGTGTGTTTTTTCTTGCCCAGACATTCCTTTAGTCCACGTGGGGCAAACTCCAGGTTCTTTTTAAAACGTTTCTTTGACCAGTTCAAGTCGCTGTCCTGAGAAGCCCAGGGAGTGGCAGTGATGGATGGGTTGGCCTGGCAGGCTTGGCAAAGGTCAGTGGGCTCTGCTGCATCTACTCTGTCCTCATTTGCTTTCCCACAGCTCTGCACTGTTGCGGGTGGGACATGAGGCTGGGGAGGCAGACATGAGTTACTGATATTATGGACACGGCCCACTGTGACTCAGGAAGGGCGGTGGGAAGGTCACATTCAATGTGGCACCACGTTCTTGATGTGCTCTTTCCTCAGAACCCCTGAGGGTAGCCAGGGGGCCTGTGCTTCATGACTGGGGTCAAAGGGGAGGGCAGGATGGTTCTGGGATCAGCAGAACTCTCTAGCAGCAAATCCAAATGTCAATCCTGAACGTCATGGGGAGGGATTAGCTCAGCAGATGACTAAAGCTTGATGATGACTTCCTCTTCTTCTCTGAGGAGTGGGTGAGCCAATGGGCTCCTCGTGGAAAATCAAACAGACTTTTATTGACAAAAGGTACTAAGTCACACTGCCACTATCGACCCTGAAGACAGTCTTGGGTCCCATCTGCTTTACTAGTATTTCTAAAGATCAAGTGTAAGGAAGAGAGAGAAGCACTTAGCTCTTTGTTAGACTATAAGGTACCAGGTTACAGGTTAGAGCTGAGATGGATGTGGGGATTCCCATTCATATTTCTTAATATATTAAAGCCCATTTAAAATCTTTTCCATTTCAAATGGTATCCAAGTCTTTGTAAATCTCAATTCAGATACTTCATCAAGAACTCAGTGAGTACCTGGGATAGAGGTATATGAAAAGATGAGAAAAATCACATTGTATTTTTCAGTCAAGAGCCCCACGTTCAATTCCACCCACTCTTCTTCCTGTCCCCTTTTACAATGACCTTGATTTGGGGTGCAGATCTTCAGGTGCTAAGGGGCAACTAGACTTGCCAATAGAGTGGACAAATTTGGTGAATATAACAGGCGACCTGCAGTGAGTGTTCAGACTACAGACCTTCCTCAGCAGCTGAGTGACCTTGTGAAACCATGAACACTAGAAGAGTGCCATGTATTGATAAGTCTTTGTGTGACGGGCACTGCGCAATTAGGAAAAGGTGGCCTGATGAATGATCTCAACTCAATAAGATACTCTTAAGTGCTAGACACTGTAGTAATTTTGCCCTTGTAATATAAAATCTGGTCATGTCTGCTATTAAATTTTAGCCAGAACCTACTTTCATCTAGAACCCAGAAGTCCCCAGAACCATTTGAGGCTTTTGATGGCCACCCAGGAGGAATCAAGGAGATTCACAGAAACCAGATGGATGATGGTTGCCCAGAAATTTTTCTTCTCAGAAGCACTTGTCCAGAGGACTTCCAAGGGAAGCAAGAGGAAGGGTTGAAAACAAAAGGGGAAGGAAGGAGGTACAGTGAGAGTCACCCACACAGTGGACAAGTGTGGCAGGTCCTGTATTTGAGAGCAGAAACAGAATGAGTAAGACCCGGGGAGACCTGCTTGCTTCGCAGGTCTAGAGAACAGCAGCTGGGGCTGGGGCCACCTCTCTGGGCATGGCCTCTGCTCCTGCCTGCTCTGCTCTGCAGGAGTCCTACCAAGGGTGTCCTCATCCCTCCGTTCTCTGTGTTATGGTAGATAAAGTGAGATTCTAATACTCCAGGCCTAAAATACAGGGGGCCTTCTACAGGATTTACAGGCAGTGCATGGAATTGTGGTGACTGACCACAAACGACCACCACTAACCATCTAACCCCTCCATCTCCCACCTTGCCCGCTTCTGGCCAGCTGGGCTATCAGGAAGCATCGCAGTAAGAAGGTTTTGAGCAGAGTCCATTTAAACCTTCGATAGGAAACATTCTACAGCTGTCTCACAGGGAGCCTGTTTGACAGCAGGGAATCAGGGTAGCTGGAGATATGACCATATAAGTTAATGGGACAGTCAAGGGCTGCTGGTGGGAAGATCCTGGACTGACAGCCGTGGTGACTTTCCAGGCAGCATCGGATTCTTGGGGTGAGGTAACTGGGGAGGGGGAAAGAGGGAAATGCAAGACAAAAATATTTAGCTCAGCAACTCTTATCAGAAGATGTGAGTGTCTGGTGGGAGTCTGGCAGGAGAGGTGGTCAAAGGGCTAGACTGGGGTTAAGTGGGCTCTTTCTTGCTGCCTGATTATTTATGACTGCCATTGTCTGGGCTTGGGAAGAACGCCCTTCAAAATGCCAATACCTTCAACCAGATTTGCAACTTTGGGGTCCATTTTCTGATCTGTGACACGGAGCTGGCCAAGTGCCACGTGGTGTGCGTGGATGTGTTAAGATAACACTATCCACTGTAGCCCCCCTAAACGCTATACTCTTGTGGGGTAACAGCAACAATCCTGAACCACCCACCCAATAAGATCCTGAAGACAAGTAAATGACTCGGCCCCCTGCCTCCCAAACTCACTCATTCCATTATAATGAGAAATGAGAAAGGCTCATTTGTCAAAGATTCTTCTGGAAAACATAACCTCTACTAAGATAGAAGGAGCGGGGAGCGTATGCCTTTGAGCGCTCTGACTCAAGCAGTTATGTCTCATAGAGTCCTTCACATTTCTCCCTCACTGAAAAGAGACTTTTGTCAAGGATGGGTACCCAGCAGTGACTTGCACACAGTAGGCATTTCATAAATATTCTCTGAATGAAAGAGTAGAGGAAGGAATGTGTGAGGGATGAGAAACATTCATTTGTGCCAGAAGGAGATTCCAGACAATGCTCGAGGATACGGTTCTGGGCGTGCACATCAAGGTTATGTAAAGGTAAAAGGGAGGAAGGTGGGTCATGAACTTCAGCAAATACTGGGCTGCAAGAGCGTGAAACATGGGTGGTGGGATGGCAGAAACATTCTTTTGGGGCTCAGGGGCCTAGAATGCCAATGAAAGATGTTTAGGAGAAACCAGCCCAGGCCCAGGGAGCCATCATCTTCCACAGAAGCAGAGCTGTAGGTGGTGAAGGCAGGCCCTCACGTCAAACCCTTCTCTTTCAGATCCAGATATGTGATCTGACAGCCGAAGTATAATAAGGTCAAAGGTCTAAAGCCAGAGGGACCCGGGGGGAGAACTGTCTGCACCATCCTCTTGTTAACTGGTTGAGAAGAGCAAGGATGAGTGAGACAGACAGGGCTGGGTAGAGACTCCCAACTCGGGGTATTAGTGTTCATGAAACCATCATGAGGCCTGCTTGCAGCTCCCCTGCATAAGACATTACACGTGAAAGAAAGCAGAAGAGAAGAGTCAGTTTCTCTTTGTCCCTGTTCTCTCTTTTCCCCTCTTTTTCAAAAAAAAATTTTTTTTAACCATTTTAGGAGAAAGCACCTGTTGTGATATTAGAACACTCAGCTCTCTAGTCCACTGGGAAGTTTCTTTCAATATGTTGAACTCCAAGGAGATTCCTGTTTAGTTCTCATGTCAAGGACAGAAGGAAAAAGGGCTCTCCACTCCATGTCCCTCTGTAAGGGCAGAACCACCAGCTTCCAGAGTTCTCCACTGCTGATGACGGGACGGCAGTTCTTCATGGAAACCTGGCCACTTACCCACCCTGGATATCAGGAGGATTAGTGTAGAGACAATACCCAAGGTAGAAAGGCAGAGGTCAGATGCCAGCTGTAGAGAGGCTGGTGGAATCATACTCGAAGGACCAACCAAGATAGGACAGAGTTTGTAGTGTTTGTTGGGTGCCAGGAAGCTTCTGGGTGCCCGTTCCTTACAGCTCCTCTTTCTCGGCTCCCGGGTTTACTCTAGCAGCGCTGCCGGGCTGGCTGCTCCCCATGAAGCAGGGTCAGGATGACTCTTCCAACGCGTTGACCACCTGCTCCAGGATGTCGGGGCAGTGATCTGCTATCTGCTGGAGAATGGTATTGGCGAATTCCTGAAGCTCTGCATTGTCCCGTTCACCTTTCTCTAGCTCATTCTGAAGCTGAAAGGGAGAGGAAAGATGGATTTCAGATAAAATAAAGTGATGCTGTTTGCACTGGGCTAACGGTTATTGTTCACGAATAAGGAAATGGCATTTCCAACAACATGGGTGAACCTGGAGGGCATTATGTGAAGGGAAATAGGCCAGAAAGACAAATACTACATGGTATCACTTCCAAGTGGAATCTGGGGGAGTGGGGAAGAGTCACACTCACAGAAACACAAAGCACAATGGTAGCTACTGAGGCCTGGGGGAGTGGGGGAAATGGGGTAAGATTGGTAAAAGGGTACAAACTTTCAGTTATAATCTGAATAAGGTCTGAGGATCTAATGTGTAATATGATTATAGTTGATTAAATTGTACTGTATAATTAAACATGCTAAGAGAGGGGAGCCTGGGTGGCTCTGTCGGTTGAGTATCTGACTCTCGGTTTCGGCTCAGGTCATGATCTCAAGAGTCATGGGCTTGAGCACCGCATTGCGCTCCGCACCACTGAGCATGGAGCCTACTTGGGGTTCTCTCTCTCCCTCTCCCTCTGCCCCTCCCCCATCTAAAAAATAAATTAATATGCTAAGAAAGTAAAACTGCAATGTTCTCATAAGGAAAAAAAAAGGAGTGATGTGAGATGACAGATGCATTACCTCGAGTGTGGGAATCTTCACCAACGTGTATCAAATCATGTTATACATTTATTATGTCCGTTTTATTTGTCAATTAAATCTTAATAAAGCAGAACATGAAAAAAAGAAATGACCAAAAAAAGGACAGACACTTTCTATGGGAAGTCTTCCTGCATCAGAGTTCCCAACCAGGAAATGGTGTAAGTTAATATCGAGTGTTTGCTCATGAAGGGGTGACTAGTCCAAGTCCCAAAGGCTTGTTAAGCCAGCACCAGTGCTCTCATGCCGGTGGGAACATTTTCTCTAGTGTGTCACAATATCATACCCATCCCCAGCACAGGGGACAGGGGCACATGTGTGATCTCAGATCAGATCTTAATCTTGCATAATGGTCCTTTATCCTGGGGAAACTTGTATTTAAAAGACCTTCCCCATTTGCTATAAACCACTTTTATTCAGTATGTCAGACAACCTGCTAATTTAGGCCTCTAATTTAGCTAAAGAGATTACTCGGAGCAACACATAAGATAGTCCTCTGTTTAGGAGTAAGTATAATTCTAACCTCCTATCGTTTCAAATGCTCTCTTGGACATTCCTTCAAGCAGTAAGCCAGCATTTATCGAGGGCCTCCTGTGTGCTAGGTGCTGAAAGATGAATGCATTTGGTTCTTGCTCCGAGATCCATGCAGGTTAATGGAGGAGACAAACATATACACAGATAATTAATTACCGCAAGCGAGGCCCGTACGCGTGCTACAGGGGAAGACGTGAGAATGACTGCTACGTCCTGGAGGGGTCTGAGAAGACGCTACTACAAGCAGTATGTGATGTGGAGTCTGAGAGCAGAATAGGAGTCTGTAGGGAGATCAAACAAGAGGCTTTCAAGCAGATGAAAGAAATGCAGATGTGAGAGCTCTGAAGGGGCTTTGCACAGACCTCGGGAAGACGGAACCTTTCAGTGTGGCTGGAGCGTAAGGTAAGGGCACTGCGCAAAGAATGACAGGCAATGAAGCTGAGAAGAGGCAGACCGGGGCTGGCCTGTGGATGGAAAGCCAAGGAGTTCATATTTAATCTGGTTAAAAAACAAACAAAAAAGGAAGTCTAAGAGCTTTTAAACAGCGCAGTGACATGATCAGCTTCATGTTCTCAGAAGAGAACTGGGAAGATAAAAACACGTTAGACTGAGTGGAAGGAAGAATCAGTCAAGGGAGGTTACTGTGGCAAACCCAGAGGCCCTGGGGCAGGGCCAGGGGACACGGAGGGCAACAGATGGGCAGGAGACTTCCCAAACGTAGGACTGATGGGAGGTGAAGTTCAGTGAGAGGGGAGGGAGGATCATTCTGATAGCTCTAGCTGGGGACATTAAATAAGACTGAAAATACAGGAGGCAGAGGTTTTTAGGAAAGCAGAGAGATTAAAAATTGAGTTCCAAATGTATTAAGAATGCAGGTTCTGGTTAGGCCCTTTGAGTCTTAATGTCAGCCGGCACAGTTTTCTCATTTATAAAATGGGGCAATAACATTCATAGGGTTGTTTTAAGGATTTAGTGGGATATTCATATAAAGTGCAGTACAATGCCCGACACAGAAAATGTCTAACAAATGTTAGATGTTGTTGTAATTATTGCTAAGTTGGTTAAGATTACCTTGACAGAGCATGTTGATTAAAGAGCACACAGAACCAAGTTTTAACTGCACCGCTGACAGAATCTACGTGCCCTGAGCCAAGAATGAGCATGCTGCTGCTTCAAATATATCAAAGAGCTGGGAACAGATTTTGCAATCTTCTTTCTGTTAAATGTTGACTAAAACACCAGGACACGCAAGGACCAGACTGAGACTACACTAAGTCTTGACTCATCTCAAGGTCTGGCTGTGTCGTGTGAATGCGAGTCTCTGAAACGGGGAAACCAAGGAAAGCAGGTGCCTTCTCAATCTAGCCGCACAGACGACAACCCGGAAAGACTGCTAGGTGAGGACGCGACGACTCTCAAATCTCTTGAACAGAACCAAAGTCAACCACGCAAATGGAGGAGGCTGTATGGCTGTTCTGCCTCAGTTTCCCATCTCGGTCCTTCCCAGGAATACCCCAGACATCTTTGGTTTATATTCAGAGCCAGGTGTCTGCACTCACTCTCTACAAGTCACATGTTTATTTCCTATGAAATACCTTCCATTCCCATTTGGCTTCTGTTTGTTAAGTAGATAATCATGAAGTTTCTAATGGGTACATTTTCATTTATTATTTTTTCAGGTTTTTTTTTTTTTTTTTTTTCTAATTTAAAAAGTACTACAGGGGTGCCTGGGTGGCTCAGTGGGTTAAAGCCTCTGCCTTTGGCTCAGGTCATGATCTCAGGGTCCTGGGATTGAGCCCCACATCCGGCTCTCTGTTCAGCAGGGAGCCTGCTCCCAACCCACCTCTGCCTACTTGTGATCTCTGTCAAATAAATAAATAAAATCTTAAAAAAAAAAAAGTACTACACAAACATTGTAGAAAATTTGGAAGACAAAAGCACCAGGAAAAAAAAGAATGACAATATTAGCATCAAGAGATGACCACTGCTACATATTTTGTTGTATATCCTTTGAGACATTGTTTTATTATATATACAGGTAATTTTAGAAACAAAATGGCAATTACAGTATATAGATTATTTGTGAACTGACTTTGTTTTCACCTAAAAATACACCACAAACACATTTTGAAACCAAATCCCAAAGGCTCTTTCAGAGCTTGGTAATTAATTCTAAATTTATCCATATATATAACAGGGGCTAAGAAAATATTTGAAAGGAAAAAAATGATGTGTGGACTGGCTTATCAGATTATAAAACATACTGCAAAAAGCCACTAACTAGAAGAGTATTGTACTGATAAAATTAGATCACTGGGATTTAGAATATGAGCAGGAGTAATTTGAAGTCAATGAATTGTATTAGGTCAACTGGGCCTTGCTATGGTTAGATTTCTGCTCATACCCTATATGAGCATAAATTTAAAATTACCTAAAGATCTAAATTTAAAAATTATGTTGCAAAGACATAGTCTTCTCATGCACATACAAAACATTCTCCAGGACAGATAATATGTAAGGCCTTAAAATGAACCTTAATAAATTTAAGACTGAGGTCACATCAAGCATGTATTCCAACCACAATGGTATGAAACTAGAAATCAGTTACAAAAAGAAAATAGAAATTCACAAATATTTGGAGATTAAACAACATGTGACTGAAAAATTGATGGGTCCAGAAAGAAATCAAAAGAGAGATCAAAAAAATACCTTGGACTGGGGTGCCTGGGTGGCTCAGTGGGTTAAGCCTCTGTCTTCGGCTCAGGTCATGATCTCAGGGTCCTGGGATCGAGCCCCGCATTGGGCTCTCTGCTCAGCAGGGAGCCTGCTTCCCCACCCTCTCTCTGCCTACCTCTCTGCCTACTTGTGATCTCTGTCTGGCAAATAAATAAATAAAGTTTATAAAAAAATATCTTGCGACAAATAAAAATGGAAATACAATATACCAAATATATGGGGTACAGTAAAAGCATTTTTAAAAAAAGATCTATTTATTTGGGAGAGAGGGGGAGGAGTGGCAGACGGAGAGAGAGAGAATCTCAAGGAGACTCCCCACTGAGCATGGAGCCCAACGCAGGGTTCAGTCTCACAACCCTGAGATCATGACCTGAGCCAAAGTCAAGAGTTGGACACTTAAGCTACTGAGCCACCCAGGCGCCCCTAACAGCAGTTCTTAAGAGGGAAACTCATAGATACTTACAGTAAGAAGCAAGAAAGATCTCAACCTAACTTTATACCTCAAGGAACTAGAAAAAGCCCAAAGTTAGTAAAAGGAACAAAATAACAAAGATGAAAGTGGAAATAAATGAAATAGGGACTATAAAAAGACAACAGACAAGAATAATGAAACTACAAGCTGGTGTTTTGAAAAGATAAACAAAAGAGACAAACCTTTTAGCTTAACTTACCAAGAAAAAAAGCAAGAGAAGTAAAATAAAATCAGAAGTGAAAGAAGAGATGTTAACTTATACCAGAGAAATACAAAGAATCAAAATAGACTACCATAAAAAATTATATGCCAACAAATCAGACAGCCTAGTAGAAATGGATAAATTCTTAGAAAAACACAACCTACCAAAACTGCATCATGAAGAAACAAAAAAATCTGAACTGACTCTTAGCAAGGGAACAGAATTATTAATCATTAATCAACCTTTCAAAAACCAAAAAGTCCAATACCGGATGACTTCTGTGGTGAATTCTACCAAACATATAAAGAAGAATGAATACCAATCCTTCTCAAACTCTTCCAAAAAGCAGAAGAGGAGGAACACTCCTGACTCATTTTATAAGACTGGCATTGCTCGC